TTTTACCTCGTAATTTTAAACACAACATAAACGGTCATTACTTACGTTTCAACCCAATATGATTTCCATTTATTTTATTTCGATAAATGTTTTAATTTGAATATATTTCAGCTAGTTTACAGTGCATTAAAATATTTCAAATATTCGTAAAAGTCAAAATTCAATTTGTGATGTTTGTTTATACATATTCGAACGTATATGGGCTTAAAAGAATCGTGATTAGACAGTCGCAATACTATTGAAACGCGTATAACGATTTCGAGAAGTTTAAAGAATGTTTCGTGTACAAAAGTCACTAACATATGGGAACTGAAGTTCAAAAAATCTCATCAATAGGCAATGACCAGGACCGTTTATAAAAAGCATTCAGTTTTATGTTGAGTGGATATAAAATGTGGCGATTATGTTTCTGATGTTGCTGTTGATGTTTTTCTGATGTTGTCCATGTATTTCATGGAAGAATGGTTGGCAGAGCCTCAAGAAGGTTGGACTTCTACTTCCACACCAATTTTGAGGGAGAGCACAACGAGGGAAGGAATCCGATGGTTCCCCCCTTTCCCTTACCACCGAATTACACGAGAGGTCATTCGGCTAGCCATATATTTAGAGTTCCCGATTCCGCAAAGACACTATACATTTACAAGCGTCAATGCCACCTTCGGGATTCAAACCCTCGCCCTTCGGTACCGCACTAAGCTCCCCTAACCACTATACCGTTAGGGTGGTGCTGTTTCTGATTATTACGTCAAATGATATAATTTCTTTGTTGGATATTACAGCATTAGGTAAAATCCTAGTATACGGTGCAGCCTTGGCGCGATTTTGAAAATTATCGCCAAGACCAAAAATGACCCAAACAACGTTTATGTATATACTATACACTATAACCATAGTATACTATGTATACGATGATTAGATCTATGTATACGAGTATATCTATGTATATTCTATGTATATCTCGTATATTCTTTGAATGACCCGTTTAGTACTCATCGTATATGTCCAGTTTTTACTGCTCATCATAAAGTAGCCAAAAGTAGCCAAATCCCGTGTGCACCGGATACTAGGATTAAACCCAGCATTAAATACACTCATGTCCATAAATTAAGGATAATGCAAAATCAGGCAAAGGAAGAGTTAGAAGCAAACCAAATTTGACTTATTTGTAAAGCTTATTTATTAAACAAAAGGTAAAGAGCAAAAAAAAAGATGCTATATGTTTGATATTATTAAAAAAATTAGGGATTGTTTCTCCCTGGAGCAAATTACAAAAAAAATCTATTTACAAAAAACCAATATTACATGGTTGGTATGATTGTTAATACATTGTATGTCTCCCAGACGATGCAATACAGTCCGTACAACGCCTAGGCATGCTGAGTATCAAATTATCGATCTGATCTTGGGGGATATTACACCACTCAAAAAGCAATGCTCTCCGAAGTTTCCGGTAGACATGTAGGAAGGACGTTGACGGGCTGCAACTCGTCGGCCAAGCATGTCCCACACGTGCTCTACTGGATTCAAGTCCGGTGAGAATGCTGGCCAGTCCATACGGGTGATATCCTCCGATTGAAGGCATTCGTTTACGATGTTTGCACGGTGAGAACGGGCGTTGTCATCCACAAACACAAGTTTTGCGCCCATGGCGCCCCGAAACAAACGTACATGTTGTTCCAGAATGACGTCCCGATAGATTTGATTTGTCATGGTTCCAATTTGAACATGCAGGTCAGTTCTGGAACCCAGAATGATTCCACAGAAAACGAGCACTCCTGCACCACCGTAACGGTGTCGTTCAATGATGTTTTCTTCGTGGTAACGTGTTACCTGGAGCTCTCCATATGAACGTCCGGCGAGAATCAGACTGCAAGCTAAACCTGGACTCGTCGGAAAACATCACACAAGCCCATTGTTGCGATGTCCACAATGCATGCTCTCTACTCCAGGCTAACCGCAAGCGAAAGTGAGTTGCAGTAAGGAGCACGCATCTGACATGTCTACGAGCATATAGACCAATCTGCCCTAAGCGTCTTTACACGGTCTGCCTTGAAATTGTCGTACCAGTGGCTGAAGAGAGCAGACGAGACAGGTCTGAGGCTGTGCTCCGCCTGTTTCTTTTGGCAGTAACTGCCAAATACCGGTCCTCATTCGGCGTTGTAACTCTGGGGCGACGTGTGCTGTAACGTCTACTCACATTACAATCATCTTGGAATCGTTGCCAAAGTCTGGAGATGACACTTTGGGCAATTCCAAGTTCGTCTGATACTTCCAGTTGGGTACGCCCACATTCCAGACGGCCGATAATTCTACCACGTAAAAAATCATCCAAATGCGTCTTTGTGTCATAACTATTCGGTTATTGCACTGAAATGCTTATAAAGCGCCTGCGAACAATTTTACTTCTTTGCCTGTATTCCTTATACACTCTTTTACACTCTCGTCATTGTGACGTACCATCGGTGTCATCTGGTTACTTCCTGAAATTTGCATATTATTCTTGAAGATGTGTGTAGTGATTTTACAAGTGATATATTTATTTTAGAGTTCGATTTCCGCGTGACTCCGAATTATCCTTAATTTTATGGACATGAGTGTATTTGATCATATGTTTGGGGAAAACGGAACTACTCTGATATGCGCCCTCAAGTCGCCAAATTTCTCACCAAATGTTTTTGGCGAGAAATTTTCGCTGCCATATTACTATCTAAATTTTTTGTCTACATTTCGAACTTTAAGCCTAAAATGTCTCCAAAAACATGGTTTTCGCACCTGCAAAAAGTACGTTTTGAACACACGATTTAAGCTAAAAATCCGAAACAAAAACAAAAAATTTAGATAGCAAAAACGTAAAGTTTCTAACCAAAAATATTTGACAAGAATCCATGTACACAGCGACATGTTTTAACTTAAAAAAACATCTACGAATGGCACAGTGTAGGCAACGAACGAACCTACGAATTACGCACACCTTGCTTTAATAAATTAACATAACAACAATAAATTTCAAAGAATACCATGTACGCAGCGTTCTGTTTCAACTTTAAAAAGCATCTACGAATTGCACAATCTACACTAAAAACAAATCAAGAAAATAAACTAAAATAAATTTCAGACAATTCCAAAAACAGCAATAAAAACGGAAATTCATACTAAAAACAATGAATATAACATTCTACAAAATAAAACGCACTTACCATAATGAAAGCTTCTTTTAAAAGCAGAAATATCTTTCCCCCCTATCTTCTCAGATACAGAGCATACAAAGTCCAAAATACATTCGTTAATAAAATTTCGCCAGTCACACAACGTCTGTGAAGAAAACTTCCACGATTTTGCTATATCACATGCCTTCCTACGATTCAAAATTTCGAAAGTAACAATAAAAACTTCCTCCAACGTTAACTTGCTACACGAAAACCAAGATCCAAACCTTAAACTCCGCTGACACCAACATACTTTATTAGCAACAATTTGACTGCAAACCCACACAAGTCTATCAGAAACACCATTTTTCTTCCGAGTTCTGATATCAGCTCCGCATTTTGGACACGTCAAACTCCGTTTTAAAAGTCCCGACTCCCACAGAAATTCCAAAAATACACTACGATCCCCATAAATACATCGGTGAACAAAAGACTCGTTAACAACTCCAACATCGTACCTTCTCATACTAAATTTACTCTGCACATAATCTAAAATACGCAGCTGATACCTTCCCACCACGTCTGTCTTTCATCGCAACACAGGCCATTTCAAAAACACACGCGACACGAACCAACTAGCAATTAAACTACTCCACCAAAAGATTTTTCAACGTCGACATGGTTGCCGTACAACACGCAATCGCGCCAAAAACCAGCGCAAAACACATATCGCCACATTTGGTGAAATTAGGGCGTTTATCAGAGTTGTACCGGGAAAACTTTAGATTTGTGCATTGGTCTGTAATTAAATAATACGTATTCTACCTTCATTTCTCACTTTTTAAGTTGTAAACTTTGGGAAATTTTTACTTTTGTGGAAATGAACGTCTCTCACTCTATGTGTTTTTTTAGACCTAAAGCGACGCTACTCTCAAATGGGAGTTTGTTCTCAAAAGGGCATTTTTCGTTGAATCATTATAAACGGCGTATCATTTTTCAAATTATTGCTACCAAATATTATCGCCCTGTATTATAGTGAGGGAAATTACAAAATAAAGAACCTACACGAATGTATGCATGTTTCTCGAACTGTAAAAAACAACTGCATTTAGCGTCATAAAATTTTGAATAACGTAGTCCTCCACCCAAACATGGACAACTGGAAGCCCGAATTTTGAATTTCGAATTTGTTTTATTATCTGATTCATCTTTTGTAAAACTTTAACGAAATTTTGACTAACAAACTCAATGATTTCAAAGCGAGCAATGGCAACACTATACGGAATAAAACATTATTATTCCAGCGCACTGGACGGTCTATCGGAAATTCTAAAGATATGAAATTTTTAAATATTTTACAATTTAGCTGTTTAATCGAAATTTATATGGCGTAAGTGCCAAGAAAGTGACAATAAATAAAATGAACACACAAAATGTTAGTAATAAAAAACAAAACAAAAAAAAATTGTAAAGCCATCTAAGTATAAAAAACAAACTGAGAAACGACTAAGAAAAACAGAAACATTTAACCCCAACACTTAACGCTTCACCGGGAATTTTAACATATGCTGCTAGGCTGTTTTTAAAAGTTTCGAAGTTTGCTGTTGAATTGAAGTGCGAAGAAAATAGTGCTTAATATGATAAAAAGATAAAAGATATGAATAAGATAAAAAGATAAAATAAAAATGGGTTAGTAGGAATGAGTGTAAAAGGAAACTGGTAGAATGCGAGCACAGTGAGAGTGTAAAAATTCTAGCAAACCCTCTTAGGCGACCGTTAAAAATCTGAAGCCTTTCAGTTTTCTTTCTTTCTTTCTTTTTTTTTTAATTAAAGTAATACAGATGTTTTCCTTACCAGATAAGCTGTTTCGAGACTTCCACTGTCAACCATATATTCTACTTTTGTACTAGTGTCGTTTACCTGCGAAAGACAGTATTTTCAAGACATATTCAAAAATAGTTTGAGTTAAAAGAAGAGGCTTAATTATAACATATGATGAAGAAAATTATTATGTACATTCTTTCCCTCTAATAACCCTGCAATGGCAGCTAGAATATGAAACCTAAGCACTAACAGCTAGAGCCAACTTGAGATCCCGACGAGTTTGACTGCATAGAGGATTCGTGTTTTTCCCACGTCTAAGCAGAAATATGAGACAGTTTCTCTCGAAAAGAACTCTACAAAGGCATTCTTCACTTAGGCAAGCGGCCCTCATGCGCTTTAGATTAATGAATAAAAAAACTTAAGCTGTCTCTCTAGTCAGAGACATATACAGACACGAATCACTAACTGCAAGTAGTTAAGACCCCTGAACACTGATAGTTCGACCCGGTTTTGAGTGTCGGAGAACAGGCTGATTGATGGGTGTTCTCGTGGTTTTTCTCAAGTCTGAAGTAACTTAAGTTCTGTTAATATTTTCTATTCCAGATAGAAGCATTATAGAATTTTTATTTATTGATTATATTACATTTAAAATCCTCTTAAACGAACTTATAACTTCATAAGCTCACTCTAGAATTTTTTTAAACATAAATTTTGCTTTCATTTTTGGTTTCTTTGCATTACATGTAGAAAATAAGAGTAATAAATGCTAAAATGGTTACATAAATACTTTAGAGTCAAGGCTAATCTCTGGTTAAGATAACCGTTGGAGCCTGACTTTTTTTTTTTTTTTTTTTGTTATTTTATAGCCTCCTCAATTACTTGAAAACAATAATTTTTTACCTTATCTTTCATATAAGTCTTCTCGACGAAAAAATCTAAGCCAAGTGAATTGTCCTTTAGATGGACTATTAGTATTTTGTTTAAAACTTTTTATTAATAATACTAGTATCACAATGTGTAACGAATGAGTTAACATTAATGTTTCTCACACATTTTTTATCGGCAGCTCGCTTTCATATAGATGCTAAGAAAAGTAAAATATAAAAATTTCGCATGCAGTTCCCGGGGCTATATTTAACAAACTACGTGCTAGAGTTGAATTCCTCTTTAAGATTTGATTTTTACGAGTTAATATTCAGGTTTGGTTTCACTCATGTAGTATCTAGTACCCCATGTTCCGTACCATGGCAATTTTCCAAATAATGACAGAATTAATAGGCATGAGCAACAGACCATTTTCCAGAAAGGGGCGATGTACCTGTTGGACACAGTTAAATACAATAACAAATTATTGTTTAATTTTTAAATTGGGGAGCTTAGAATTCAGTTATAGAATATATATTACAGTGTAGAAAAAAATTAAATTTAAAATTTAAAGAAAAAAAAATGCACAATTTACTAACATGTAAGGAAAAAAAATTGAGCTCACCGAGTCGGGTAAAAGAGTGAGAATATATATATTTATATATGATTGGTGCAATCGATTGTAACTACATATAAAGCAGTTTCATATACGAAATTCCAACGTTCTACGGATGCTCGTTCTTGAGTCATGCGGGACACATATACACATACGTACGTACGGATGTGAAGAAAAAAGTCTCTTCTGAACCCATTTTAAAACCTTTTTACAATCCGTTTTGGCAAAAACAGTCCTTTATTCTGTCCGTACGTACAGATGTCACGAAAAAACATCGTTCAAATCGTTTCGAGATCAGTTGAAATGGATATCTTCGTTCAAATACGATACTCGAAATGTTTCGCGATTACTTCCTTTACTTCGTACTAGGAAGTAAAAAAGGCAATGAAACATTTAAATTAACTAGATTTCATTGAGTTCTTCTAGGCGGTTATAATGTGACAAGTAACTCTGGGAGTCTCTTTGCATTCTGTCTATGGTTAAGATATAAAAAAACTCTCTTTTTCTTTCTCAAGTTATCGTTTTGTAATTTTACATTTATAGTATACCTTGTTTCCTATATATCTGATAATTAAGAGTTAAAAAATTATTAAAATTATGCTTTCTGAATAAATATCAGTTGAGTGCTACACTTTAGGTTACAGGAGTTTAAATTTTTCCATCACTCTGGAACTATGTTGGAAAAGTTAATATATCATAGGAAGTCATTTTATAGCCAAAGCTTTTAGTTATTTAATCTATAATAAAACCACCTTTTTTTAATTACCTCATTAAAATTTTCTTTCGTTAAATTAACTGCAATATATTGGCCGCATCAGTTTTCAGAAACACAGCATTTGGCTAAAGAATACACTAGCTTTTGCTTTCTTTAAACATATGATACAACTCCATTGTTCAATTCTGTTGTTCATTTTCTTCTATTTTACCTTCACTAGCCCTCTATCTCACCTGTGTAAATTTATGATCATAACAATTCTAGTAAATTTTTCGTTAGGCATTAATTTTTTTCTTTTTTTTAAAAAAGATTTTTGAATTACAAATTTATATGATTTTTCGCTTACATTATTTGTACTTTTATTTTTCATTCTACTTTCAAAAGTGTCTCATCATAACCATCTGTTAATTTTGAGTGTTCGTATGTTGCCTTTTAAAATTCAATTAAATTTCGACTTTTCGATCGAGCATATAATGCTTAACTAGTTATATATTGATCAATATAATGCTTAATATCATATAGGTAAGCGTGTTCAAAGCTTGAAAATCATGGCGTCCAAGATCAGATCAATCAAACTGTAACGATTTGAAAAATGGAGAATCCGCTGGAGAAGCTTCGTTTTCGACCCGCTTTGCGGGGAAGCTATTTCACCGCGCAGCCACTGGGCATCTCGCAAGTATATTCTTTAATTATAGTATATTCTCTTATTAATATTACCTAAACAAGTGTATTCTTTGCTCTAAGCAGAGCTGAAATAAACCCACCTATAATTATGAAAATAACTATATTAAATATGTCTTACCCATAGTTGAAATTCAGGTGGTTCATTAGCGTAACTTGTGTAATTTTGATACTGTTCTACAAAACACTTGACTTTCCTGTAGAAAACCGTGTCTGCAATTTGGCTCCAATATCTGCTTCCATCATACGCGTCTTTACCAGACAAACCTGTGATTTTATCATTGGTATTAGCAATGATGATGGAAAAAGAAACATATAAATGACAGTTTGCTAGTTTTTATTTCATTTCTCCTGCCCAGACTGGATAGTGGTATAATAGCGACTCTGACTACCGAACGGCCCGGGTTCGAATCCCTAAAAAGGCAAGGATGTTTGTAAATGCCTTACGGCGTGGGTGCATTCTAAATGTCTGGATAATCGATTGAAACCGAATTTCGACTTTTTAACACTTTGTTTCTTTGTTTCTTTTCCTTGAAACTTTCTGACAGTTTTAAAACTAAGACTGTAGAAATACATCTCCATCTCGTATGACTCTCTGAAAAGTTTTGTAACAGAAAAAGACTCCATTGTTCGTTCTCGTTACCTTTTCCTGGTTAACAGCCCACATTCCAGTTTCGCCACCATTTGAATTACTCGCAGAAAGCGCGGCTCTTAAATTTGTTTTTAGTTCTTTGCTATTCGACCTTCACGAGTTTTTCTGTTGGGAGTTTTTCCTTTTTTGATAAACTCCTAAGCCAGGTTCGTCTAAATTTTCAGCAAAGCATTCTGTTGATTTGGAAATCAAAGGAAATGTATGTTTGTATTTTATTTCATAATTTTCTTTGGTTTTCATTTTAACTTAGCTTGCCTAAGCAGCTTACTTTTATGATTATTCTCTGGCATAAATTTAAAATTTACAAAAAGCTAATTTTTCGAGGAAACTGAGCCGCCCTTGTTTTAGGCTTCATGTAATTCGACTGAACAATTTATTTTTCAGTTTTGAGCAAAAATTGTTTCATTAATTATTGATGTGGAATTTTTCTTCTTGACTTAATTTCGTTTATGTAATTAATTTGTATTTGCCTTTTTTAGGTATTTCATTATTACTTTGACTACTATTTAGAATTTATATATAATATTTGGTCTAATTTGAGGTCGAATGCATGCGGGAAAAAGATCTGAACATTTGAGAACTATTAGAATGTTGTTTTAAAATGAAGGATTGGTACTAAAAAGGAACTTTGAGTCTTAAATAATTCAGAGGAACAAAATATGTATTCGGAACTCATTAATAAACTTGGTTTAAAGCTTCAATTTTTTTTTTCTTGGCAAGTTCTGTTTGAAGTGTTAAACATAGGAGATTAATGAAAGAAATTTTTTATCTTGTTTTGTTACGTAAAATGTTCTGCAATTTTTTTTAAAGTTTCTGTTTCCTCATCTTAATTTTCAATTTAAGATCCCGTTTTTGAAGGTTTCATTTATTTGCGTTTATTCAATTCGGTAATTCTTACCAGGAGAAGAAAGATTAAACTTTCAAATAAAAGGAACAAAATTTTATTCATTTTCGTTCCGACATTTACTTTTTGATTTATATATATATATATAATATATGCGTATGTATATATGTATGTATATTATATATGACAAGATATTTTAATATAAACATTTACTTTACCTATTTTAAATAATCCACGAATAAGTTTTTTCGACCAATCATTGAACAATGGCTCCAAAATTCAAGTAGCTGAAAAAATATTTTAATATATATAAAGTTTTTCTGATCTTTTTACATTATAAAAGAAACCATAGAACTGTACATTAACGCAATACAACAACTTAATTCACGATTAAAGATATATGCGACTTTATTAATATCTTACTTTGGCCAATCCTTGTCGTAGAAGGGGCGTTGTAATATACCCGCAGGCAACTCTGCAATATAAAAGTTGTTGCTAAAAAATATGAAAATAATAAAAATTTCGGTTTATGTTCAAAGGCAGCTGTCCTGAAATATTAGCTTTCAGTTGACGGTCTTGTCAAATATTGCGATGTCTTTAATCACGATTAAAGTCAAAAGAAGTTCCCTCTGCCCAGGTAAAATTAAAACGGAAATAGTTCAGAAGACATTTATAAATATCTGATGATATTTTAGATTCAATTTTCTTGAGCTCTTTTATCCATTATTTAAATTAATATAATAAAAAGAATTATCTTGAAATGTCAGTAGAAACATGATGCCCATTTTCTTGATTATTTCATTGTAAAACAAAAATAAAAAATGAATGATAAACGCAGATTTCTCCAATTAAACATTTTCTGGAGTTGAGAGAAAACAGTAAATACTTTCCTGGGAGAAAGCGAGTAGTGCTTTGATGAAATTTTCTTATGTCTTTTTATTCAGCGGAAAATTTGAATCTGAAGTCCAGCTTCACCTTTAGCTTGCTGCTATAGTTATGAAAAACACGGTAAAAGCATCTTTTTTTACTTAGTTATTATGAAAAACATATCTTTCGTCCCCTCCTTTAAGATTAATGCAAAACACATTTTTCTTTGTCAGATTACTCTCTCGCCTATATCTGGGGTTATGGTACTACAGTTAACGAATTATTGCCCATAAGTCTGTAGTTACGCTCCCCACTTCTAGAGTTTAAGTATAAACTCATTCAAATTAATCTGCGTTCAAAACTAACCTTCATCCAAAGTGTAATATCACAGTTTGAGAAAAAAATAGTCCTCTGAAATTTTATAAAAATATTTTTTTTCATGGCCTCGCAGAAGTGAAAGAGATACTATTGCTAGGAAATGCCCAGCTGTGGTCAGACAGTTTCTCCGCAAAGCGTGTTTAGGGTCACCAGAAAATGGCAAAGAAAGTGCAGGGTTGCCAGATTTGGAGCGAAATCGCCCATCTGACGATGCCTGATCACAAAATTGGCGATATTCCCCAGACGAGAACATTCTAGAACAAATTCTTACCGGGTTGCCTCAGAATGTTCTCGAAGGCAGGTCAGAAGCTATATAAACGCTGCCTGTACGCAGAGTAGCAGGGTATCGTGAGATTACTGTAAAGGAAATCTGTAGTACGTTCAGTAGTAGTGGTCTTGAGCTCGAAGAGCGATCAACGAAGTCAGAAGTTGCTGATTGTTTCAGCGCCTTTATCTTAGTTTTAACACGTCTTTAGAACTGTCCTGTAAAATACTGACGAACTGTGTTTTGATTCTTCATCAGTTGTCATTAATCACTCCAAATTCATGAACCCGTAGAACGCAACTCTATTTTATAATGAAGTAGAATCATGCTAGTATAATATAAACAAAAATTTTAAAACATCAAAGCTCTGTTTCGATACCATAACTCTTTTAGATAATGATAGTCAATGAAATTTCAATTATTACAAGAATTATGCTAATTTGATTCATGTAGCTATTTCCCTAAAGCTAAGCCAGCAGAACTGATGTGAAGTCATGAAAACTTTAAAACTAGTAAAAACACTGAAAATATTAAAAGAGTTTGAAAAATATTATGTACGATATTTTGCCTTTTCATAAATAAACGTTTCATTAGTGTAAGAAAATTGTCCTGTAATTATTAAATACGCTTTCTGAAAAAGAAAAACTAAGTTTATATACAGCATATCCTCGCACATTTTCTCTCTTCGCATTTTAGCGCCAGTTCTGAAAATTTTAAATATGTTAGCGGAATTTCCTTCTTCTTTAGTGCTTTCGGAGAATGAGCTTTAATAAACTTTAAAATGGATTCATCTTCTATGTACTGATTGTTTTCGTCGTACTGTAAGGATCCTAAGTTTTACTAACGTTTATTTTGTTTTAAATCTTTACTATCACTTCTTATTTTCTACTTCCGGCCAGAATTAAAAGCTTTAACTTATTTATGCAAATTTGTCTTGCTAACGCAAGTACTTAAGTTGTGGCTTTTTGCCAAGCAAGAGAGAGGAAGGAGTTATTAGAAGCAGGCCGCTTGCCATAGTAGTTTTACTCTGTTGCTGGTTGCCTTCAAGGCCAGAGGTTTAGTCCTCTTGATAGTTTCAAACGTATCGTAGTTTTAGCAGCTCTCTGTACTACATTCGGATTTTGTTAAATAACGGCCAATCTTAAAGTTAGGCACTTGTATATTAATCCAAAGTTAGTTTTAGTTAGAGCTTTTAGTTAGTATTTTTATATTCTTACGTTCAGACCACAAGTGGTTGGTCTCTGTATTCCGAAGTTCTGGAAATCGATGTAAAGATAGAAAAATAAAGGGTTTTGTATACCCTTCCTGTGTGTATTGTCTACTTCACAATTTATTGAACATAGCTTGAGTAAGCTCCCTGTTCCGAGTCAGGACAGTTCATGTTTCCAAAGCAAGTAAAGAGGAATACAAGTCCTGATAGTACAAACAAGACAAACCTTCGCAAAGTACCTGCAAAGATCAAGCGAAACCTTTCCCTATTAATCGTTGAAATTTATGCCAGCCTAGTAGAAGAATCGACCAATAATAGCGAAGCAAACACGAACTGACATTCAGTCTACAATTTCGCTGAGTCAGCTGCACATTCACCTTCTCTAATTATGTATGAATGGCTTGAGGTCTAAGGAGTAGCAAAAATACAATATGAACGGACGAGATTCAAGTTACAGAGAAGTAGAAATGAAGGGTTACAGCCGAAAACATCGCGGATGAAAACGTCGCCGAGAAAACAAAGCAAGGCAAAAACATCGTGGTACAAAACATCGTCGTCGAAAATAAAGCGGTTCAAAAATTTCTCAGTTTAAAAACATCGACATCGAAAATATCGTGGTAAAATATAAAGTATCTACAAATCATCGCATGACGATAACATCGTAGACATACCTTTTCCAGTCCTAATAAATCTGTGAAAAACTAAACAAGAAATTTAAACAAAAAAAGAAATAATTTCCACTAAAAGAGTATCAGATTAACAAAAGTGAAGAAAATAATCTCATGATTAACTTAGCAATTTTTTTTATAGATAAAGGCATGCAATTACTTATATTCCTTTTTCTAATTTTTTAAAATTATACTTTTTATGAAAAATTACCAGAAAAATTTTATAAAAAATAATTTATTAATGACCTTTGTTAGTTAACTATGTCAGTTTAAAATGATATTAAGTGCTATAAGTTGCATTAATTTTCTATGCTTAAGTTTCCGTTTTACATTTCAGCAAATATTTATTAGTTTATAAAAAACATGAAAGTAGAAATTATCCTTCTTTCCATCTTGCGCTCACAAATCATTATGCGAGTATCCTTTCACAATTATTAAAGCTTAAAAAAGATATGTCTGCGATGCTATCGTCGTGCGATGATTTATAGGTACTTTATTTTTTCCATGATATTTTCGACGGTGGTGTTTTTAAACTACCAAGTTCTTAAACCACTTTATTTTCGACAACGATATTTTGTACCACGATGTTTTAGAACTGTGTTTTCTCTTTGCTTTATTTTCTCCCACGATGTTTTCGCCTTGCGTTGTTTTCTCCGCGATGTTTTCGGCAGACACCGAAATGAAAATGTCTTATTACATATTGCATCATTAATATTACTATTTATACACATTAGAATGTAAGTTTATTGTAAAGAACTAATATTTTGGCTTATACGCGACTACTTTTCATTTTTTACATTCTTCGTGAAATTACGTCCTTAATTAAATTATTGACGAAATTAAATTATTGACATAATTTTCTCCTCTCTGTTATCAGGCGATAAAATTAGCCAACAAAAGGGGGGAATAGGCGAGTAAATACGATTTAGAATAATGCATGGAGTTTTCTTTGTTTTCTTTAATGTGTTTTTTAAAGTTCACATGTTCGCATAATGAGAAAGGGGATTTATTAGTAATTTAAAATTGCTGGCTTTGAAAAAAATAAAACATTTTAAAAACTTGGGTGTCACGCTCTAACCAAAAAATAAATAAATAAATTGAAAATTTTGAATTATTTTATACAAAGTGCGTTAAAAGATATAATATTGCAAAAATCATGCAAATTGAATTAAGTTGTGGTCAATTTGAATCAAAACTTGTATCGTATTAATAAACTTGTAGAGTTCCTCACTGTTATTGCACTAAAGTAAATACGAAGGAAACTAGTGAACTATTAAGGACTTATCGCTGAGTTCAAATAACAGAGGTCGTAAACTCAAGAAGGGTTAACTACCTTTTATTTCACTTAAAATAAGATGAACAGTTGGCCCCTTTCTCTGGGCTTACAATAAAGCCTCCACTGGCGCTTAAAAATAAGAAATAAGAGCTAACTTAGAGCTACCTAAAAGAGACTTAGCCGAAGCTAACACAAATCTAACGTAGTTGGCCCTTAATTTAAACTAGTCGGCGAAGCCCGAAGGCAAATGCGAACTACTCAGGATTTCTAGCTCTCACGAAGTAAGTTGAACCTTCCTTAAATACTACTTCTCACTCAACGCGATTCTAGAAACTCATTCTGCCAGGGTGTTGTAAATGGGAAACAATAATTGATAGGAAAGATTATCTTACTTAAAATAACTGCTATAGAATTAAAATATACCTTACAAACTGCAGTATTAATAAGCAAAATAAATGAAATCTTTAGCATTTAATCTTATTTCAATTCAGAAAAATATATTCTTTCTTTGAATAGAGAAAATAATACTTTTTTTAATTGATGGAAGGAAAAAATATATTGTTGACTTAACATTGATTTTGAAGAAAATAACAGACTTAAAATTAGCTATTAAAATGATTTCTTTTGACACTGATATTCAGTGTTTATCAATAAAATTGAAAATGAAAGAAAATTACCAAACAGTTTCTTCAAAGGTTTATAGAAGTATCCTACAGAAAAGATATTTGCATATTTCTTCCATCTGAAAAATATATATGTATATATATATATATATACAAATAAATGTAAGCTGAAATTTCTTAGCTTTTATTCACAGTTTCTTGTCTGTACTATTAAAATCTCTGCGTGTCTGACTATTTGTTTGTGGTATGATCTCCTCCGGAATGGGGGGGGGGGAGATGAATTTCGAGAGCGCTAACTCCGGATTCCAAAAATTTCTGGTAAGCCATTTAAACCATTCTCATCTTTGTACGACTTTAATTAGGCGAGATATTAATTAAAACTCTAAAAACATTAATTTTTGCACTCATTTTTCCGAGTGGCAATAGTCTCGAGCGTTGGAGATGAAAATGCTCTATTTTGAAAAGTGTTGCTACTACTCCCTTTCAAATCGTAGAGTTTGTTAATAAAATTTTTGTAAGCTTTACAAAATATGAAATAAAAATAAAATTGCCAAACATTAGACGTATTATTATTGTATAAGGTCATATTCTGACGTTGAAAGAAATCACGCAATTGCATGTGACGTCATTATATTTCGAAAAATGTTTTGTTAATGTCAGAATTTTAAATAAATAGCTGCTGTTGACGATTTTTGTTTCAGGTTAGTATAATTGTCAGTTAGTATAATTGGTACTATAATTCTGTTACTAATATTGTGAAAATGTTGTTATGTTACATTAAATTTAAATGAAGATGTCGTACATATTAACCTGAAGTATCAAAAGGTTTTGTTTCCTGGTTCGGCAATAAAAAAAATTATTTACGAATTGGTTATTCATTGGAAAAAATGAACTAATTTCTTTCATATTGAAATGTTTTCATACATTTGCTTCACAGGCGTGCATAGAACTTACAAATCTTGCTTTGGCTGCAGCCTGCTAGTGTACTCAAAATACTACAACAACTGAATATCAACACTAGGAAAATAGCTCACCCCGTAGAATAATAACAGGACTGTAAGAGCAAAACTATTGTAATGTAAGCATATTACTATCCAGTTTGTATGTACTTGATAAAAATAATATTGTAAAGCAGTTTAAATGATATTGAAATCCAGTCAATGTGTAAAATGAATTACAAGTTTAATTTTGATTATCTCAGTAAAAGTATTGTAAATATGAATTCATATAATGTTTAAATGTACACATAGCTGTCATGATTTTATGTATCTATCATATGTAACTTGTACAAGACAATGATTGTAATCAACATATCTATGCTTATACACAGGCCTTGTATGCCCATGTAATATTTATATGTATATTTTTACACGGAGGAAATTTTCCCTTCTGCCAGGATGACTACTAACACTGTAAGACTTTTACAACAAAGTCAGGTCAGTGGTTATCTCAGCCTGCTAGTGTAATATAATTTACGTATACTTACAATCGAACTATTAAGTTATTGACTGGAAATTCAAATTTCGAGTATAAAATCAAAAGTCGCAGAAAGAAAAGTTTGCCAACCACAATAACTTTTTTCTTTTCAATATTTTAAGCCATAACTAGCCCAAATCGCAGATCTGCATATGCATTGATCCCAAAATTTATATGCCACATTATATTAACTTTCAAATGATCTTTTCTAGAGCAGCGGTCGTCGACCCTTAGACCTTTACGGACCACTACATATATAATTTTATTTTTTATATCTTCTGTGTCCTAACTATGAGAGCAAAAGAAACGTCCTGAAACTAGGACTGAAAAATTTTAATATTAACTGGCCTCCAGAATTTTACGAATTTATTTCTGAGAGAAGTGCCTTTAACAGTTTTTGTCAATTCATTGTAAAACTTTGTAATCATCCTTAATTTTATTTCAGTTTTCTGTTCTGTTTATTAGTCCAAAGGGATTTGAATCCCGAAGGACTATTAGTTTCGTTTTGGCATTTTGCGTCGGACGGATAAATGTCGGTTCACTTTTCAAACTGTTGCCATAAAATGTTAGAGTCCTGCATTATATTTGAAGAAATTAAATAATGAAAAATCTGCATAAATGTATGTATATTTCTCGTATTGTGATAAAACAACGGTACATAGAGTCATCGAATTTTGAATAACGTAATCCTCCAACGAATATGAGCATGTGGAAGACCAAATTTGAAATTTGAAATTTGTTTTATGATCGATTTCCTATTTTTTAAAACTTTGACGAATTTTTGATTAACAAACTCAAGGATTTCAAAGCGAGCAATGGCAACGTTGTGCAGAAAAAACATTTTTATCTCCAGCGCGTGAGTCTCTGTATCGGAAATTCTAAAGATATGCTCGTTTTAAAACTATTTTGCGATATTGCTGTTGCACTGGATCTTATGGTTTAAGTGCGAGGAACATGATATTTAATAAAGAAAGGTAACACACAAAATGTTAGAAAACGCCCCTTTGGACATAATTTAAAATCTGAAACATTTCAGATTTTTTTTTTTTTTTTTTTTTTTTTTTTTTTTGTATTGTGTTTTATACTTACTTCTCTAAACCCCATGTGATACTATGTAGTACATGGGGAAATTATTGTGTTTCTTTTAGTAAATAAAAAAAAAAAAACAATAAAGCTAAAAAAACAAAGAGAAATGGGTTAGTAGGAGTGAAGGCAAGAGTAGACTGGTAGACTGTTAACTCGGGAAGAGCGTAAAAACCTAAACAAACCTTCTGTTCGAGTGAGCACTTTCAGATTTCTATATTTTTTAACAATTATTTATACGACTCTTTCTTCTTAAACAAAAATCAAGAGGAGCTTTGTAGTTAAAATATTACGTACTCTTCTCCTATTTTACGTTTCCGAAGCATAGAGAAGGAGTAATCTGTTGACCACTTGCGTAGCATTAGCAGTTTGAAGAAAAAATGCTCGTTGTCAAGGCTCAACTGTAAATTAAAAATTAGAAAACATACCTATGAATACTTATGAAATATTTATGAATGGTTGATAGGTAAATCTGCAAGAACTTCCATTGAAATAAGTTCTAAGAAACTTACATTTTTATACAAATTGGACATGAAACTGTCATTCAGAAGCTCTCTCGGAAACGCAATATTTGCTTTTGTGCTGTTTATCTGTAACACATAAATATATTAATACTGTAATACGTTAATACATAAATACATTAAAATATGTATTACAAAAATGCATTAATCTGTAATACATAAATACATTAAAATATCTAATACAAAAATGCATTAATCTGTAATACATAAATACATCACGTATACACAGGGGATGTAATTTTTACATGCATAATTTTATTGTTTCATAAATATTCATGCATAATTTTATTGTTTCATAAATATTCATGCATAATTTTATTATATATTTTAGAAACACATTACAATATATATGAAAATAGAGAGAGAGCACGGGGGACGTGAGCACTATCCCTTTACCAAACGGTTAATCAGTATATAACCACGTCCACCACTATCTATAGCACCCCTTCAATGTTTATGGCAGCAGGAGAACTTACGTTGTCTGACATAAGTCCATGCCCAGCGCAGACAGTTTGTCCATTAATATATTTCATATGAGAATAAAAAAAAAGTTTATAAATTGGTTTGATATATTAAATAACAGGTTTTATCAAAAAGTAAGGGAAACATATGCAAGGTTGTATTTAATATCCAATATGAGTTTAAGATGAAATTTGTCATCCATTCATTTTCGTTTATGACCCAACAATAACCTGGGATCGGTGACCAAAGAACGTTTACATTTGTAGTGTCATTAGAGTTTTTTGAAACAGGAGACGTGAAAAATGTGTAGTGCCCTCGCCGGAACTCAACCCTGAACCTCTCGAATACGCAAAATGCTGGTGATGACGAATTATCATTCACCCCCTTTTAGTTCGTAAGCCACTTTTAAAGTCATTAGTTTTTTTTTTTTTTTTTTTTTTTTTTTTTTTTTTTTTTTTTTGAAGCGGGAGATGTGAAAAATGTGCAATGCCGTCGCCAGGATTCGAGCTCTGGGCTTCTCAAATACGCTTCGAGTACTTCTTCGAGTACGAGTATGCATCCAGTTACGCCACGAAGGCATGTGGAAAGAAGGTACTAAATACCTTATACATTATGGAAAAGATCCAAATATTGACCACAGAAATAATTGTTACATGTTTAGCCATCTCCTTTAAGACGCCGGACAATCTTGAGTTTTCCATTTCAAGATTTCAGCTTGAAAATTGATCCATCGATTCTGTTTTGTAGGTCATATTTTGAGGTGACGCTATGAATAACTGCTTTATAAGTTACTATTAACTTCGAATATCTTCACAAAGTAGATATAAATGTGCCCTCCGTAAATATCGCTCTTAGTTAGTGGACCAGGCGGTCCATTACAGGACATGACTCAATATGATACTTTAAAAGACTGTTATTTTACTCCAGACTATAGAGAATGGAAAATGAAAAGCTTAACGAAAAAGCACTCCGAATTTGAAGGCAACATATGCACATTCAATTGGGAATCTTGAATGATCTTGAAGCTTATCGATATCAATAGAGCTTGAAGTTTGAGTTTTAGGGGATGAACTAGAGATTAGAGGTACTGATTTCAAACACTGATAAATATAGGTTGTAAATGGGAGATATTATGGAACTAAAACCACGGTAAATTTTTGAATCTCGGAAAAGCTTTTTTTAGGAAATGCTAAAAAAATAGCCAGGTCTGAAAACATGCAACAGCTTTATAATTATTTGGAACTCTAATTATGCTTGATAATTATGCTAAATTTTTAAAAATCAATCTCAGTTTCAAAAATAAAAATACCTAAAAATTATTCCGGGTGGTTCCTCAGTTTCAAAAATAAAAATACTAATCTCAGTTTCAAAAATAAAAATACCTAAAAATTATTCCGGGAATTCGTCAGAAGAGGGAGAAATGCCATTTGGGTCAGTCCATTTCTTATAAGGTCCATGGGCGTAAATGCTCGTGCTCGTTTCTGAATGAGGCTTTAATGGCCTCATTCAAAAGACGATCTTTTTAACTCAAACGGCTTAGAGACTGTCTTTTTTAATTCAAACGGCCATTAGCCCAGAAACGGCATTGTGCTTTGAATCACTAAAAGCATTATATCACTTTTTAAATTATTTCCACCAAATATTATTGCCCTGTTTTATATTTAAAGGCAATAAATAATGAAGAATCTGCATGAATGTATGTATGTTTCTCGCAGTGTGAAAAAACAACGGTTCCCAGAATAACGTTTAAATAAAGTAGTCCTCCACCCAATATGAACATCTAGAAGCCCAAATTTGGAATTTGTTTTATTATCTGTTTGTAATATCATGTAAAATCATAGAATCCTACTATCTCATATCCTGTAAAACTTTAACGAATTTTTGATTAAAAGACTCAAAGATTTCAAAGCCGGCAGTGGCAATACTCTATGGAATAAAACTATTTAATCTCCAGTGCGCGAGATTGTCCATGGGAAATTCTAAGGATAGGGTATTTTTAAATATTTTGTGATTCTTCTGTTGAATCGAATTTTATCTAACGTAAGCGCCAAGAACGTGATAATCAATAAATAAAGCAGAGACACAAAACGTTAATAATAAAAGTTTTGTGAAGCCATTTTAGTAAGAAAAATGAACATTCATTTGATGAACCGACAAAAGAATGAAAAAAATACAAAAATGCTTGCCAACACTTTATCCAATCCGGAATTTTAAACGTATGCTGCTTTTAATATTTTGCTTTTTAATTGTATATGGATTAACTGCCAAGGAAATGATGCTTAATAACAAAACTGAAAATACAAAAAGAAAAAAAAATGGGTTAGTAGGAGTGAGTAGAATGGCAGAATGGAGCACTGTGATCTCAGCAAGACCGTTAAGAAACCTCAACAAACCGTTTTGGGCGACCGTTAAAATCTGAAACGTTTCAGGTTCTTTTTTTTGGGGGGGGTACCTTTTCATTTATTTATCATAAACTTTAGGATCGTAAATAGTGCAAGAAAAGAGAAAAACGAAACAAACCAGGTAGCTCAATTTTATCTTGTCACGTTCTTCCATCCAGTAAAGATTTTCCAGGGTTTTTATGATTTCTTGCTTAATATATTTATAAATCTCTTCAACCTGAAAGATTCAGAAAAAAACCTGTAATGAATCACTAATTAATAAATATTGATGATGAATGTCAATGAATTTATTTTAAAGTATTACTGTATTAGTGAAAATGACTAATAATGATATTACTTAAACGAATTTTTGATAATGTTGCGTTAGTGAATTACCCAATACAAATGCCTTAGTGTATAAGAATGCAGTTTCAGTGATACTGATCAATAAGAAGCACATTACGAATTACATTAAAAATTGACTTGCAATGTTTAATGCATCTTGTATTAAAGATAACTAGAAAAATTTTGAAAACAATGTGAAATTCAATTTTTACTAAACTTTGTCAAAATTGTTATACAAATTTAAATATGATAATTTTAAAGAAATAAAATTGTCAGTAAAATAAATTAAACATGATATAAATTGATCATGTTATAATGAACAATGAGAAGGAAATTGAGTAGATGTATTTCTAAGCATACTTGCAAAAAATTAGAATTTTTTTATTCAAAATTTCCCAAGATATATCTGAATTTATATATTGGTGAGTTTTGAAATTTGGCATATTTGTTATATGCGATAATAACGCCAGAGGTGATTTACGCACATTGTTAAATTTATTTCAAAGAATGAACGATGCACACTTTTTTTCCCGCTGATAACCAGTGAAAGGGAAAAGAAAATAGGTTGCCATAATTTAAGAATTTTGCCATGCGAATTATTCTTGGTTCAAACTGAAGAAAGTGCGCCAGGATAATTTTTTAAAATTTCTCGGTGAATTTCTAACCAGATTTTACAAAATCTTTATATATATAAGCAGCTAAAGTATGTGTCTTAGTTTATTGTTGCCACTCGGAAAAATTAGCACGGAAATTAACGTTTCCGTAGTTTTTAATTAATATCTCAGCCGATTAAAGTCATACGAAGATGAGAATGGTATCGATGGATTCGGAGAATTTTTTGGAATCCGAGGATACGCGTCTCGAATTTCAACTCGGCGCCGTTCCGTAGATATTCGAGAAAAAAGAATTTGGCACGTAACGAAATCCCTATAATAGGGAAAACTCAAGAAAGAAAGTGGAAAATGTAGGGAAGAAAACGTAGGGGAAAATTAGTTTTTAATTAATATCTCGGCTAATTAAAGTCCCACGTAGACGCGAATGGTCAAAATGGCATGCCATGGACCTGCGGAATCCAATGGTGTGCTTCGCTAAGCCCGGAAGCCAGCCGTTTCGGAGGAGATGATGTTACTTCACCCAATATATATATATATGCGGCTTAAGTGTCTGTTTGTCACAGATAGTTTATTGGTTGCTTGAGTAACTATTCTAGCCAATGGGGTGAAGTTGCCACTGTACAGGGTTGCCGTTTCTATTGAGATGTAGACAATTTCCTGTAAAACTTGCCTTTGCTATGACCATCCTTAAGTCTCAGGGCCAAACGCTTAAGCGTGTTGGCATTTTTTTACCTGAGCCTGCATTTGGACACGGTCAACTTTATGTTGCCTGTTCAAGAGTTCGTGAAAGAACGGAAGTAAAATTAAAAATAATGGATGGTTTTAATTTTACTTCCGCCTGTGCAAGGCGAGTTTACTTCAAGGCAAGTTGGATGGTTTGTAATTTTACTTCCGCCTCTGATCGCCTCTGCAAGGCGAGCTTAAAAATGATGGAAAGGTCTACAAAAGAAATGTTGTGTACAAGGAGATCTTTGACATGTGAATTAACATTTTATTATTTAAATCACCTTTATTTATTGAGCTAGCGGTGGCTCTTAAGAAATGTACCGCCAGTGGTTTTCTACATTGCACTCTACTTTAAGCAATTAAGCAAGTAGAAGGGGGAAACCCCATGGAGCAGTAAATAAAGGGGCGTCCTCGCCGCCTGCCCTGGGTAATTCAATTTAAATTAGCAAACACCTTTGCAAAATCATTTTAATTACAATTTATAATATCTAGAACAGCGCTCATTTCATATGACCGCCGAGCTTTCTAGTTTAATATAAAGGTATAATATGCGTTGTAGAACCGCAATATGGAAAAAATTCGTTTTGCCATTTCAGGCAGTCCGATTTTGTGTCAAAAAAACCTGTGTTAAATTGATGATATATATAAATCTAATATGTATCAAAGTCGCACTTTCGGGATATGGAAAACTCAAGTTAAATTTCGACAATCGGCCCAGAAGAACGGGATATCCAAAACTGTCCCTTTTATTTTATTTATTTATTTATGGTGCAGGGTGTACGTGAAAAAATTTGAAGTCTTGAATTTCAAATTAGCCTTGTCAAGTGGTTGCGCCGATACAATCTGTAAAACAGGCATACGGAATAGTGGACAAATGTGTTCAGTACTTACGGATTCCTTACTTCCTTGTTTGAAGTAGTGTCGCAAATAATAAGAACTGAGAGCTAATCCGAAGTTTTCTGTAACGGTAGAGAGGCAATACTTCCATCGAGGTGGCTCTTGTATGATTTCTTTAGCAGAAGATCTTTCTGATAGAGTTCTCCAATACCACGACAACATGGGTAAAGATTCGTGAACAACTCTCCACATCATGTAATTAACCACTATCCTAAGCAAATAAAGCAAAAGTGGTAAATTGATAAAGACGTCATAATACAAGCTTGCCATCTCACACACTTTCCGTCCATGGATCAGTGTACTTAAAAATCCTTTGTAACATAGTGAGTCATTTTAAGAAATAAAATATGAAGTTGTAATTAAAAAACTATTATATTAAAATTAAAAGTCAAGACACATATTGTAAATTTTTCCCAGGTTTAATTTATTACACAGAATATAACTGCCACCATATTCAATTAAATATTATGTAAATCTATACATACTCCTGTGCAAAATTAAGAAAATTTGGGCATTATATCGACTTTCTGAAAAACTGGTGAACGAATTTTAATGAAATCTAGTACGAATATACCTTTACAGAAAAGTCACTTTATGTACACATGTCAAAAGTCACTCAAGCCATTAGAAAGTCATTTTATATATTCATGAGTTTCAGGAAAGCTCATAGTGCAGGAATGTCCAAAATTCAAGTGGTGACACTGAACTGAAAATGAGTCTAATATGAAGTATAGTCCCCTCTAACGGCCAAAATTGTCACCCAGCTTGATGGCATACTACACAGGAGGCAGTTGAGGAGTACCTTTGGTTGTCACTCCCATTCCTGCAGTAAGGAAGTTTTCAACTCCAGAATGATTCTCTAAGGGGGATGGAGAGATGGTATTGTTCTCCCAAAAGCGTCCCATATGCGTTCTATATGGTTAACGTCAGAAACGTTTGGTGGCCAATCAATGCGACGAATAGTCTTTCTTTCCAGGTATTCGTCGACCAGCTGAGTCTTATGTGGACGGTCGTTCTCTTTCATAAACAGGAACCCAGAACTAATTGCGTCCCTGAAAATTCAAACATAAGGCTGTAAGATTCCCCCTTTATACCTTATAACACTCAGAGATCTGTTGTCTGTGCGTCCGTGCAACATAACGCCCGCCCAAATCATTACAATTCTATCACCACAATGATACCTTTCGCTGATGAGGGAGGGAAGGGATTCGTGTTCAAGACTCTTTCCAGATACAGATGCGCTGAGAATCAATGTCCAGACTGAATTTCGACTCTTTCTGTAAAATGCACGGTACTCCGTTGAAGTATCGCTTAAGGGGCTTACGTTCTGCACCACACTAAACGCTCTCTTTTGAGAGATGCATTGAGAGGGGCTCAAACAGCGGGTCCTCTTGCATACTTTGTCGTGAAGTCTTCGGGCAAGTACCGACCATGAAACTTTGTTCCAGTAGCAGCAAACAGCTCGTGTGAAAACATTCAAGCTGTAGCAGTCCCGTATCGCCATACTGAGAGTGTCAAATAACGATTCTCGTTCTTTGTGGATCTTGGACGGCCTTGTCCAGGTCTTTTCGATATGGATAAACTGTTTTTCACAAATTGCAGACGATACTGGACATTACATTGAGCTCTGTAGCCACCTTCCCTTGTGAATGATCTGTCTCCAGTCTACCAGCAATTCTACATCATAGGCCTTTTTTGAGCTTGTGGAATACTAACATTATGTAACCAAATATATAGTACCTCAATTAACCCAACAAAATACACTTCTCATCTCAATAAACTCATTAATATTTTGCATATTGCTTTACGTAGCTACACCAAATGGAAAAACTGCAATATAGCATTTAGATGAAGTAAAAATATTAAATATTTGCGTAAATCTGTTTAAGTGACGTAAAATGTAAGTACTTAATTCGGAAATTCCACAAACTACTTTATGAGACAGTAACACTATGTTGTTTCGAATGAGTTGTGAAGCATTTCTTTAAAATGGAACATAAACTATGGTTTATGACGGTAATAATTGTAAACAATCAATAATCCATAAAAGAAGCTAAATTTAATAAGTTTATGCTATTTAATTTAATAATTAAACATAATTAGTAATTTCTGTAGGTTAATAGCAAACGAATGAAGACATTCAATTAACAATTAACAAAAATAATTATAAAAATTATTGAAGCAGCATTATCTTTGGAATTCAGACCAACTTTGTTTAAACTTTGTTGTTAGAATAGACACAGAGCTTTGATTACATTAGACTGACTTCAAATGAAACTGCTGTTACTATTGAATTTCATCTTTGGTTATATTAAATTTGCAATGAACTTTATTCACTTAAATATTATGCATTTCGCTGAAAGGTAGTTTAGTGTTTATATTCTACCAAGCTAATTTAAAAATAAGCTAACTCGTGCTGACTGCTGGCGTTAAATAAAAAGCCTTTTACAATTCCCAGCTGTTTAAGTAAAGTAACGCTGAATTTACAAAGATTAAAAAACTTTAAGGAAAGAAAAGCATAAATATTGTCTGCAAAAGCAATGTTTAAGCTTATCTTTCCTTTCACTTACATCTTTTTTATTAAATTTGCGAAGAGTTTTGAAAATGCTGATTTCGAAATTTTGTTATGAATTTATTTTCAAATAGATCTCACGTTTATATCACAAGGATCTGAAATCTCTACATATTGTTACGAATTTGGTATTTAAAAAGCTAATGTTAGTTTAATTATAAATTAAATGGTTTTATTTCTCGCGCAGTGCAGCGCGTGACGAATATTAAAAGAAAGCTAAGCCGGAAAATTGAAAATACAAGAGCGCGTGCATTAAATAAATAAATATCTCTTTTTGATTTCGAGAAAGTACTGGAAAATTCTAGCGCGTGATTTTAAAATCTTATAAAAGGAGGAAAACATCTCAGTTTGTAGTAGTTGCTTAGTTTGTTGTTGTTTAGAAAACTGCTGTTGTTGATTATAGCGAATTCGCGGATTAGCGTTCTTTAGCTGTTTTGAATTACGTTCTATTGTACATTTGAGTAGTTAAAAGATAATTACTGTGAGATATTGTAATACTACTGCATGATAATTTGAGAAAATTTTTTAAGCATTTTTTGTTGATGATAATAAAAGTTTTTGTTCATTTTTCATCGGACTTGTGCATTCACTTCATAACGAACCCGTACGCACGCAACAATATAATAAAAGGAAGAGTCTGTGTGTGTGTCTGTGTGTCTTTCGTTTGCGCTGCGCATAAGTTAATAGACCCACGGCTACGAATTTTGGTACATATGTGCATCTAGACAAGAGCCAGTGCACCTCGGAGCGATTTTTTTTTAAATTCGAATTAGAATTTTTTTTGTTTTATGTTTTTTGACGAAATCGCGTCATTTTGAGACATAATGGGCTATACGAAAGCGAGATTTTACTCTACACACTCCATTTTCAAATCGTCATGAAACGTAGGCACCTAGCTATTTTACGAACTTATCGTGTTTCAATAAATCAAATTATCAATTTCAAAATACGAACTTATTTAACAGAGCTTAACACCTTTTCAACAGGATTTTTTCTAAAATAGTTTATTTTTAAAAATGTACGAAGTTTATTTTTCTTGATTTTTTGGAACGTTAACTTTCATCCTTGCGACTATCTTTTACAAAAGAAATTGGAAAATGATAATATTTTGTATTTTAAACCAATTTTTTAAATGAATCTTCCGAGTACACTTCTCACATCCCACATCTTTAAAATGTGATTTTGGCAACAATTTTCCGTTCTTATTGTTGTTGATAGATTTTTTTTGATGAAATCGCATCATTTTGAATAGTTTCATTCTTTTAGAAATATGGGTTTGACAACAATTTTTCATCGTATTTCTTATGTCACTGTTTTTAAGAGATTGGCATATTTCGTTGTCATTTTTTTATATATATAATACATTTTTATTGATTTTTTTTTGATAAAGTTGTCTTGCAGAGTAAAATTCTGCGCGAATGTTTTGATTTTTGAGTTCTTTCATTTATTTTTTTTGCGGTGCTACTTTGGTAGACGGTTGCACGGATTTCACGGATTTTTGGCGATTTTTTTTGGCGATTTTCCTTGGCGAGTAATACAACTTATGGTAAACCCATTGCTGGATAAGTTATTTATGGTAACCGATACTTTGTTGTCATTTTATTAAAAAATAGTGCGTTTTATTGTGCATAAATTCCGTGTTTAAAATATATATTATGGCTTTTAAATATTAAAAATCAATTTAATTTTGCATTTTTATTTGAAATAAAAATTTTATTGTTTATCATATTTTTATGAAATTTTATGTTGTGAATGATGTAATCAATGACGTCACCTTACTTTAAAAGTAATTCGTTTTAATATGTATAAATTTAATCTAATGTTTTAAACATTATTTATGGCTCTTAAATATTAAAACACAATTTAATTTTGCATTTTTTAAAAAAATGATTGTATTATGTATGAATTTTTAAATAATTTTAATTCTTACCGTGATGTAATAAGCTCTTTGATTGGTTATAGAATATTTGTGCATTAACGAGCTGTAATCAGCTCCCTTATTGGTTACTGACAATTTGTGCATTTCCGCGCCGTTTTAAATTTAATTTATATCTTCGAATTTCCTTCAAAGATATTATCTAAATTATTATTTGATTTTTTTATTGTGGACTTATCAATATACAACAGTTAAACACTCAAAAAAATGTAAGTACATATTTTTCTTTTATTTTGTAATTGTATACTTTTCAATTTTTGTTAAAAAAATTAATACACTATTTTCAGAAATTGCTGAATAATTATTGTCCATATGTTTTAATGTTAATTATATTCTATATAACGTATTTTAAAGTATTTGGATTTATAATATTCTAATTCTTTTAAATGTTAGTATGATGGTTTTTAATTCGATATTTCAATTTCAATAATATTTAAATCGAATTAAAACGTTGGCCCAATGTTTTTATAGCGGTGTTTTTTTATTCTCTTCTTTGCTATATGAAAGTCCAATAAAACCTTACTTTAGTATTTTTATACTCATAGTAAATGTATTTATTTACACTTGCCTGCCATCTTAAAAAACGACATTTCAACAAAAAAATTAATCTATTATTTCTAACGTTATTTATTTTTTTTTAAGTTTCGAATACTTTACTATGCGTAAAAACAGCGTTTTTCAAGATGGCTGACGTTTGTAGAAATCGCGCCAACAATTGCGCCAACGTAAATCGCCAAAATTCCGTGCAACCGTCTACCAAAGTAGCACCTTTTTTGCTTATTTCGCTGTTTGTAAGATATTGATAAGTTTTGCATGATTTTTTTTCTTCAACGGAAAGTTGGTTTAATTTTTATATATAATATATTTTTTTAAAAATGTGCGTTTTCTTTTTTCGGATGTTTTCTGCAGAGTAAAATTCTGCGCAGTTTTTAAATTTAATGTTCGATGTTCCCTTCAGGCACTTTTACGGTACATTTAAAAGCCAGACGATGGCTGGAGCGCAGCTGCTAGTAAGATATAAGTGAAATAACTATTAACTCAAACTGCGAGTGTTTAATTTATCTCTCTAAAATTTATTTTCTCTCTTTTTCTTTCATATTGCTTAAAACAAATTGTTTGTAAAAAAAAAAAAAAAAACAGTTAAATAGAGTAATACAAGATCGAGGGAATTTTGTCTTACCGCTGGTCTGTTTCATTCACTAAATGTGCGAAATTCTTGATATAATCGATATCCATAACATTCAGGGGCTCACTTTCAGTTATGTTAATATCCAATAATCCATTCAAGTACTTAAACCAGTCAATCTAAATCACAAAAAGAAATTAAGAAAAAATATTTAACTTGTTTATTCGCACATTGAAATTTTTCTTATACATACCATAAAATACAGCAAAAGAAATTAATATTTTGCACTGTATACTACAGTGCTGATTACACCATTTTAAATCCATTATATAATCCGTTTTGGAAAAAGGTGTCTTTTATTCTGTCCGTATGCATAGGTATCACTCAAAAACATGGTTTAAATGGATTTTTCTCGATTACAATACTTTCTTTACTTTGTACAAGGAAGTAAGAATGAAGATAGTTGCTGCATAGTTTTAAGACAGTAATCCAAGGTTATGTGAAGTAATAGCTTTACCTCTGGGACCTCACGTATAAGTTCTTTCACAGTGTAATGTGTTCTCAGGTTCCGCCTTTCTTCAGGTGGCAAAGAAATCTATAATAAAATTCCATTCAGTTAAAAAAAAAGAGAAACACATAACATGTCAGGTAGAAAAATAAAAAGTTTATGTGAGCGGTCACGTAAAAGCATCAAACGAATATCAAGTCAGAAATCTTTATTTATTTATAAATATTTCTTAAAATAGAACCCAAATTTGTTAATTCGATATCACAAATTTTAGGAAACATCTGCTATGTTTGAAGTTGTAACGTTTGCCGAGCTTCCGTGATGGAAATACAGAGAGCAGTTGTCTTTATCAATTTTTATTTTGAAACTTAACACAAGTCTTTTTGCTGAAATAAAAGGTAAATATAACAACTCAATTACCGAAAGGGAAGGACAGCAGCTTTCCCGTCGCATGATGCGACTTATTCTTCCAGTATTTCTCCAGTAGACAAAAGCAGTTCTTTTACATTTTCCGTTTGCGTCCGCGAAAACCGCGCAACTTGATGTCCTTAACTAGTTTTTCCTTGATCGTTTACCGGCCATTTCGACAGGCACTGTGGTTCTTTCCCAAGTGAAACAGGAAATTCGCTTATATAAACCTGATGTTACAAAGTTTATAACTGTTCGTTATAGAAGCAATCTATTTTTATTATGAAAAGAACGCCAAAATCAAATCACTATTGCTAATTAGATGTGGGTTCAAATCGATGTGAAGCTAATTAGATGTCGGGTTCAAATCGATGATCGAAGCGGTGAGAAGCTGGCTTCTCACCGCTTCATATTTCATAAAAGATGTTACTCGCCATTTTCATAAAATCACAATTAAAGTTTCCTTACTTACAGTTCTTTGCTTCCCGTTCTAATGACATAATGAAACTTAGAGATATTCAGAGTTGGCGACAGAGTACTGCTATCTCCAGAAAAGAGCTTAAATAAAGGATTGTAGACTCTCATTTGTTTTGGTAACATACACTAAGTAAAGACTCTATGTAGATCGAAGAGACGTATCGCTATGTCTAAATAAGCAATCAGAAACTTAAGGGTGTAAAGGACCTTTTTAAAAACTCAAATAGTTGAAGAGAAGGCTGGCCTGCTGCTTATAAACTCAGCTAGCATTGAGGTCTAAAAGTCAAAAGTAAAGAATCCAACTTTAAACTAATTTAGCCAAAGGCTATGCATAGGTACTTAACTCGCAAGTTGGCTGTAACCGACATCAGCGTGACATCACAATCTTCAAGAATAAAGTCGTAGACAGGAATGCTAATAACGTGGCCTTCAGCAAGCGGAACAGCTCTGATTAAAACAACCTCAAACACTCGCTTAAATACACGCCAGGTAAAATTTGCATTCCGGCAGGGAAACGAAGACTTGTAACATAAATAACTGCTTAGTTAACATAAATGCTTTACAACATAAAGCAAGAAATTTTTGACAGGTTTTCCAAGAATATTAAATACTGTAGTTAAAAACTCAAACTGAAAGCAAAAACTGAAAAAACTGATAGTTTTGAAAAGAGACAGGAAAGAATACAAGTGAAAGTAAACGGAATAGTTTTGCGTTGTGGCAAAAACTTAAGAAAATATTTTGTTCGAAAAACAACATGTTTCACAAATGAAGGTAGAAGACTATCAGAAGAGAAGTAAAAGTAAGTTTAAATTCTATACAAAATGCTCAAGAGAAATATAACAAAGATTTGAATGTTATAGAACATCCAAAATTTATCTGAAATACAGAAAAGCTCCTGGGTTTTATAATGTTCAACTTGAATTTGCCAAACTTATATGTGGATTATGTATGGATTGCGGTCTTATGTATGGATTGTGGATTGATCTAAAGATGACGCAGTCAAGAGAAACTTTGATAAATTGTAGATGCTAGGAATATAAAAATCTAAAGAAGAAATTTGAAGATCTGTTGCTAATTAAGTTATTTATTAGAGATTTATTATCTTATTTTATATTGCACATATCCCCCCTTCGAGAAGAAAAACAGCTTGGTGAGAGAAAAGCCATTTAGAGAGAAATTTTGACGCATATGTTAGGAGAAGGACATATAAAAGTTTAAAGAAGAAACTTAAAGAGCTGTTGCTAATTAAGTTTAATTTATTATACAGTCTGAGTAAAAACTTTAAGGCCAGTAAAACGTTTTGAGAAAATGTAAAATGAAATAAAAGGGATTCAAATAATATTAATTATTAAAGTTCATTGATAAGAAATAAATGCTATAAACATAATCTGTAAATACATAATTATGAGAAACATGTGGTTATTTACAAAGTTAGTATTTCTGTCTGAGTAAAACCTTTAAGGCCACCAGTCGTTTTTAAAAAATAAATGTAATATATTCGTGTAATTACCATTGCAACTACTAGCTTGTGACAACGCTGCAATTTTCATATTTGTCATACGTTTCTTCGAAGTATTGGTGATCTTTGTGAAGATGGCGAAGGGTAAGAAGTTAACTGATCGTGAAAGAGGAGAGATCGAAGCTTTATCCTCAACAGGAATGAGTAGTCGTGCTATTGCGATAAAGATAGGAATATAAAAGACTGTAGTCAACAATTTTTTTAAATTGAAAGACAATTATGGTAAAAAGAATACTGCGGGAAGACCTAAAACTTTGTCCTCGCGTGATGAAAGAAGAATTTACCGACTTGTATCTACTGGAAAGTACTCAACCAGGAAACTGATTCCGACGACAGGTTTAAAAGTTTGTCAAAAAACGATTTATAACACAATTAGAAAGTATGGAAGTTTCACTTATACAGCAAAATTGACTAAGCTAAGCCTCAGTTACTGCAGAGACACAAAATAGAGCGTTTGAACTTTGGCCAGAAAGTCATGACCTGGGACAACCAATGGATAGAAATTATTTTTTCTGACGAAAAAAAAAAAAAAAAATGGAATTTCGATGCACCAGATGGCTGGAATTTCTACTGGCATGATATAAGAAATGAAAAAGAAATATTTTCCAAGCGCCAGTTAGGTGGAGGGTCTGTCATGACTTGGGGCTGTTTTGCTTACAATGGTGTGGGCTCAATTGCATTCGTTTCAGGTAGAATGAAATCACAAGATATCAAAATGTCCTAACAAATCATCTTTTGCCAAATGCTGAATGTCTTGCTGGAGAAAATTGGAAATATCAGCAACACAATGCATCGATCCGTTCGAGAAAGAGCACAAAAAATTGGTTCCAAGTCAACAATGTTGAAACTGTGAAATGGCCAGCTAGATCACCTGACCTCAACCCAATCGAGAACCTTTGGGGTGACTTAGCAAGAAGAGTTTATGCAAATGGGAGACATTTTACATCAACAACAAAGCTGAAATCTATTATCGGAGATGAATGGTATAAACCCGACCCCACTCTTTGCCAAAAACTTGTTTCATCCATGAAAACAAGAATATTTGAAGTAATTCGAAGAAATGATTCCTACACAACCTCTAATTTTTTTTCTTATATGTTATTTTCTATGTTGGCCTTAAAGTTTTTACTCAGGCTCAAATATTCATCTGTGTGTTCTGTAATATTTTCTAATAATAAAATATTTTCAAATTAATTTTTCTACTTTTTTTACTTTTATTTAAGCTCAATAATTATCAATCAAATGGTATTTTAATTCCTCAGTTTAAATGTTTCCATTTTCTCAAAAATTTTTACTGGCCCTTAAAGGTTTTACTCAGGCTTTATATATGTATGTGTGTGTGTGTATAGTACTACAGAAATCTTTTACGACAAAAATTATCCCAAATAATTTCCACGCAAAATGCTGCTGAAATACTAACTACGTATAATCAAAAAGGCAATAAATTTAGAACCAAAACTGCAAAGACGGGAAATAAATTAAATATAAAACAGGTACAATCCCAAATTTCTCCAAACAAATGTAAAAAGACCCCCTTCAACTGAGTGCATTGAATGAATTTCCGCGAAGTGAGAACTGAATTTATTGAATGAGAAATGCATCTTTAATGAAATTCGACGAAATAAGTTTAAATTAAATGCAGCATTTGTGTTAAATTTAACAGGCCGTACAAAGAAATCGTGTAGTGTCTACATCAGATATTTTTTCTTTGCTTTAAAGCAAATGCATAAAGCAAGCAAATTTTAAATTGTTGCCACCAAATGTTATCACAATGTGTTATTTAAAAGTTAAATAATGAACAATCTGTAGGTATGCCTATTCCTCGCATCGTGGGAAAACAGTACCTCGAAGCACGAATATTTTTATAAATTTCTATTGTTATCTCATTTCTTCTGGTTTCAATAAACTGAGTTGAACATTTTTGTTGGTAAATTTGGGATTGTGCAGGTTTTACATATAATTTCTTTCATATCTTTGTAGTTTTGATTCTAACTTTATTACTTTTCTCTTTCTCTCCTTCTCTCTATATATATTCTAAGTTTATTACCTTATCGTTACATGTGACAAAATCAAACTCAGAAGTAAATGACCAGCAGGAATTGTGAAGTGCTAATCCATAATGAATAAAACATTGGGGCGAAGGCAGATTAAATCTTCACATTTTATTTCAGCAAACATGTTACGGCCACAAACAATTTAGCACATTAATAGTGCATATTCCAAAAATCTTACATTTTTGATAGATTTGCAGTAAAAAAGAAGGGGCTAACAGACTGCAGTCAAGTTAGGTGAAAGCGTAGAAAGCAAGTGCGTTATGTTTAGGGTGAAATCTTCTTTGAGACTGATTTAGTTTTGATTCTCAGTGCATTTTCATTGGATAGGTAATATTGCTGTAAAACTACTATTGACTGTTTAGTTCCATTTACATCATCAGAATTACTTAACAACCATATGACACAGATTAGTCTCGAAATGGCGTAGTGCAAATAGAGGTTACTTTTTTCAGAATACAGAAGGGAATTGAAGCTGCTAATTTAATCTCTCAAATATTCTTCAGTTTTCCTACATATAAATATATAGAGAGAGAAAGAGAGATTCTATGTTTATTGCCCTTCCACCCTCTCTCTCTCTATATATATATATATCTATATATATATATATATATATATATATATATACATGTAGTTCAATTAATGAATGAACATGAAAATAAAAAAAATATAAGTATTTGTATAAATATTAAGCTGAGGGAGACATTAAAATTGAGAAAAGTAGTAACATTAGCCAGCTTGACTCGAAATCGAAAACTTCAGTGATAACTTTTAAGTTGCGATTAGTTTCGTGATGAATCAACCAGTGAAGAGGATCATTTTTACTCAGAAAATAAGCTACTTTCGCATAATTTTCTTTCATGTCTTTGTAGTTTATATATATATATATATATGTAAGATAAAAATGTATGAATCAGGGTTGTAGTATAACTATAAACATTAATTCTTCCTCTCTATTCTAAAATCGTAATAACTTATCTGCATTGCGTCATTCAAATTAATCATGCTATCTTATGTAACCGTTAATACCAGATGCCTCTTGACGACCAATCACCGAATTGTAAACCAAAACTTTTCTCTTCGCGTGCTTCCATCTTTCATAACGACGCACTTCAGCTTTTGCTCTGTGCTGTGCTAAGATGTAATTTCACTGGCTTGCTTTCTATTTCAACAATATCAAAAATGTAAATCTTCTGTGGAAAGGCAGGACTAGAGTGCCAAGTGATTGTGGCCACAAATATCAATTGGAAATAAAAATGGAATTAAAACTGCTTCGACTGCCAAGTTCTTTAGATATTACCAAGTTAGCATTACTAGCATACTACGCAATCAAATTCTTCTTCAGTATGGGTCTAATCACGCATCTACACTTTTTTCCTTTGCTCTTATTATGACATATATATATTCTAAATTGTTCCATAAGATAAAATAAACAGTAAAGTTAAATTCAGTTTAAATAATTCTCTTGCGCCGTTGCTGCGAGAAGTGAAATTTGAATTTAACAAATATTATCTATTCGTATAAAGCTAATTTAAATTAAAATATGAAATTTTAATTGAATACAAATAAAAGATTAATTATTGCTGCCCACTTACAATATAATTTAAAATCTGAGAGCATATGTAAATTAAGTGCAAATATCTAAAACTATGAAAAAATATATTTAATAATCCAAAAAATTAATCCCCCAAAAAATTTTTAAAGAATTTTTAAGACTAAATTAATTTACATAAAGTGAATAATTGTTGAGCAGGCAGGAGATAGATGTTATCAAGGGGAATTTGCCTCCTCGTGTTTCGTCATCCATATCAGCATGGGTATAGTAATATTCAAAACCAAAAGTAAAACCAAATGTAGTGAATTGCTTAAAAAAGAAATTTAAACTATAAGGAATTTTGAGAAATTTAGTAAGAAAACTGGGAATCAAATATTAATTAAAAGTAAATTGCAAATGTAATTAAGAGTAGAAAACCAAAGTAATTTAGAAACTTTTGCCTATTGAAAACTTCCCCGACACGAATTATGTATGTAAACTGAAAATAAACTAAATACAATCTATAAAAATACAAAAATATTATTAAAAGGCAAGTAAATAATAAATTTTAATTTAACTTACGTAGTAACTACACATTTTGTATTCTGGAGAGTGGAGAATGAATAGCATTCTCGCAGTAGCATTGAGTGAACTATGATGTGAACTATGATTATTAATTGAGTGACCATTAACATTGAGAAAATACTTACATTAGCCAACTTGGTTTCGAAATCGAAAATTTCAGTGATAACGTTTTTCAAGTTTCTATTATTTTCGTGATGAATCAACCAATGACGAGGGTCGTTTTTACTCAGTACGTAAGCTACTTTTAGCATCAATTCGTAGTAAACTTTTGTGGAGGTATCATTCAGTCCACGCAACAGATGTTTACGATCGATTCCTAATGTTGGTTGGTCCAACTTGAAAGAGAAGAAAATATAACCTTATTTCAGTTGAATAAAAGGTGCAAAATTTTACAAGAAAAAACACTGAAACTGAAGACCTTTCGTCTGATGTTTCAGACTCTGTAAAAAATCTTCTTCCTCCTCCCCCCCTTTTTTTTTTTTTTTTTTTTGTTGTTGTTGTTTTTTACTTTTTCTGTATAATTTATGATTACTCATTTATTTAAGTTAAAAATTCATAAAGATCATGAGTTTTTTTCAAATAATTTTCGTCTTCTTTAAAAATAAAATTGTATTCAACTTCTTGATGATTTAAATCGATTAGGCCATTATTTTGATTAATTAGCCACATATGAATACTACTGATTTCATTTCATTTAACGGTAAAAAATATCGGTTTATCAAACGCTTTTGGAATTATACTCCCCGGTGGATTTATGTTATTAAATGAATAAATAATTTTAATTAAAATTATGCAAAATGTCTATTTAAAAGTTTCAAGATAAGGTTGATTGGAAATGTATTTATGAACATCAAGAATTAACTGAAGAATTTATCGAAAATTTTCAAGGTAAGGTTGACTGCAGATGTAATTTTGCGTCTGCGTATCAACAATTAACAGAAGAATTTATTGAACAATTTAAAGATAAGTCCGATTCAGAATATATTTCTAGACAGCAAGAATTAACAGAAAAATTTATTAAAAGATATCAAGATAAAGTTGACTGGAAATGTATTGTGTCTTTATGTTTACTTATTTAATGCTGCAGAATTTATTTAGCAACTTTGTATAGTTTCATTAGGTATATTTCTGAGCAATACATGAGCAATACAATACAATAAAATCTCTGATTACTAGTCGTTCGATGCTGGGTATTAGAATTGAAAAAGATTAAGCAAGGATCCGCAATACACCATCTGAATTGCATGTTTAGCATGAATGTCACGATAGAAAAGTGCAACCCAAGAAAACGTCCAATACAGGGCTTTAGGTGCCAGGAGTGGGGGCACTCAAAGCACCTATGCACAAATGCAGTTAGATGTTGTAAATGTGGAGAAGAACATCGCAGTAATACCTGCCCGATGAAACAGGAAGAAAAACCAATCTGTATTTTCTGCAAACAAAACCACGTCTACAGCTATCGTGGTTGCGAACAATATACGAAAACGTTCAAGAAGAAACAAGCCCCCTAAAACAGGAAACATTTCTTAGAAGAAACGAAGATTTCCCGCAACTCACCAAAGCTACTGAAGGAGTTACTAAGATTACTCAGAAAGAACAATTTAACGAGAAACTAAAGAAAAAAATAAACCAGATCCTTAAAGAAGCAGACGAAGCATTAAGCTGGCTACAGGATGGAAAAGTGCAAGAATTCTTTGGTAATATACTGGTTATCATAAATTAAGGAAAAATCACAAAAATAGCGATTACTCCTTCAAAAATAAGCCAAACCGTGTAAAATTTGAATATGTTGCCAAGTAAGAGCAGCTGAGTAAAACTGCAATATGCAAATTAGTGGCACTGCACTCGGAATACGTCATCTGCGAGGAGCATAAAAGTCCATGTTTGAGAGCAAGCCCACATATTTCACTGTGATAGTGACATCAGAAATCTGAGATAGCTAATTCGTTACAATGACCGCTAGGCATCATTTGCCTGCAGAACTGCGATGGAGAGCCATTGGGAGACTAGAGGCAGGACAAAGTCAAACAGAAGTGGCCAGATGGCTAAATGTGAGTCCTTTTGTGGTTCATAGACTTTGAGGCAATTTCAAACCACAGATTCGGCATCTAGGAGGTTCAACCAAGGACGACCAACTGCTACGACGAGTGCCGATGACCGATATTTGACATTATGGGCACGCAGGAATAGAATCGCTACTCCGACTCTTCTTAGATCCTCCCTTGCTGCAGCCACCGGAATGTTGGTGTCAACGTCAACTGTGCGTACAAGGCTTCATGAAGGTGGTCTGTATGCAAGGCGACCAGCCATTTGCGTGCCTTTCACGTCACGCCATAGGAGAGACCGTTTGCAGTGGGCACGACAACATGTCAACGGACGCCTGATCAATGGAGGGCTGTTCTCTTTATGGATGAGTTCAGGTTTAGTCAAGAAAACGATAGTAAGCGTTGTTTGATATGGAGAGAATCTGGAACTCGTTATCATCCGTCAAACATCCGTGAAAGAGATGCATACGGAAGAGGCAGTGTCTGTGTTTGGGGTGACATCTTTTTAGCTGGACGCACAGACCTCCATGTCTTTCCAAGGGGAACCGTGAATGCTCAAGTTTGCAGAGATGACATCCTTGATGTTTACGTGCGCCCATATGCCGGGGCTATAGGGGATGCTTTCTTGTTACAGGACGACAACGCAAGACCACACAGGGCTCGCATCGTAGATGATTATCTTCAACAGGAAACAATTATGCGCATGGAGTGGCCAGCTCGATCCCCGGAATTGAATCCTATCGAGCACGTTTGGGATGCTTTAGGAAGACGTCTAGCTGCTCTCCATCCGCCCCTCAGACCCTTGTCGCGCTTACGACTGCTTTGCGAGAGCAATGACTCTCGCTTCCTACGGAACTGATAGACCGCGTAATTGAAAGCATCACGCATCACTGTATGTGCTGTATTGCTTCTAGAGGCGACTATATTCCATATTGAAGGTATTTTTCCTATAGCAAACTGACACCTTCGATTTGTTCATTTTATACATGTGCTAATTTCTATACTACCATATTTGTCTAATAATTTCTTTTTATGTTCTTTGATACCTTACTATGTGTTGTATATTGTGGGTAAGTTTCATTAAATTCTACATGTAACTTTTTCAGTAATCGTGATTTTTGTGATTTTTCCTTAATTTATGATAACCAGTGTATTATTGAACTCATCGACAAGATCAGAAACGCAAAAACTGCCACCGAAACGCTTTCAGCAGGCTTCAGAACGGCAATGTATGTGATGAAAATAGCAGATGAAGGAAATTAATGGATGCTTACTTCCCCCTGAACTGATGAAACTCGAAGACTTGATTCATTTTACAAAAATTTCTCTCATCTCTCTTTGACAGGATAACCTGTTTTCAATCAGCAGCGATCGGGGTCAGTTCTTGGGAGGGTGACCTCTCACATGACTGGCTCCGACAAATCAACATCGGCTGTCTACAGAGATGATTTTTGCAGCTATGGTGAGGATTTTTTTCAGGCTCGACCTCATAGCTTTGCCACCTCAGACCTTTTCTCGCCTGTGGGCGGCGGTGTTTATTAGCAGCCATTACTTCAAAAAATAACAGCGATTGGCCTAAGGGCCTTTTTGATTTATTGGTTAATATCCGTTTGTGTTAACACCTAAAGTTAAGTGACAATTCATTTATTCCTCGAAGCTAAACATCCAAGAAATTGCTTATCCCACGTACTGCTAACTTCATTGAAGTTTTTCGGAAAATTTTTATTTCCGGAGTATTGTACGAACTAATAGATGGCCCTAGGGGATGCGAAAATTATGGAAGTAAAGGTCGCACGGTCGAAAACTTCTTATAGATGTTAACAGATTCAGATTCGAATCTGGCGAACGGACGAGCTGCATGGTCGCATTTGTGGTTTTCTTCAAGTGTAACGTGTTCATGAGCCAGTTCCCATGGAAAAACCCTCACGAAAGCATCCCTCTTCTTAGGCAGGTAGCCCTCGAGGGCCCTGCAATAACCAAATAAACAAAACTAAACTAGAGCAGGGAGCGCGAAAAATCAGCGATCTCTTTTATTCAACGAAATCAACAATTCGAACTTGATTTTCAAACTTCTAACACGACTCGTTTCGAATTACATCTCGATGAGATAAAAGGACGCGTAAAAAAGGGGAGAAAAGTTCCTTATATTCTCCCTCAATTAAAGGTCATTTGGAAAGAGGAGGCCCAATTGACAAAGACAAATGGTGATGTATCTTCCACAATTTTTAGTTCGGTCGCCACTTGCAGCATAATTAGGTTTACTTCGGAGCATGAAGTATGAAGATGCCTTCTCCGAGATTCGACTTCCTGCCTTCCCAATTGCTAGCCGAATGTGCTTATACGGAAGGCAATGTTAAGGAAGGAGGAAATTCTTAACAACTTATATCCCTGTTTAAAAACGAATTTCAGACATTCAGTTTTCCTACAAAGGCTTTCTAATATATTTCGATATAGTTGGAAAATTTTCAAATTTTTCCGAATTCTCTCTTAAGATATACATTTCTTTGTTATGTATACCACAACAATTTTCTTCGAGAATTTTATCATGCGATGTTAAGCAAAAATAATGACTTCCTCCAGTATGATAATAGTTAACGAAATTCCGGAAAGAAAACTGAAGACTAAATAATGGATTCCCAGGTAATTTTCAGAGTCGCTTCTTCCTGTGGTCGAGAGCATTATGCAGAAAACATAATTCACTCTTATCATCTACATTCTGAAGACATATTTTAAGATTCTGAGGATTGCACTCTAACCTCTATTTGCATATGGTATGTTTCTTTGACTGTTTTACCTCACTTGGCAAGATGAATAAATTTCTCAAAATAATAGTAAATTATCGAACAAGTATTAGGAAACATATGCTTCCATATTTTTCTTATTTATTTTTACTTTCTTATTTCTTTACATTTTCTTATTTATTTCTCTTTTTTTATTATTAGTTTTCTTATTTAGACCCCGAAAGTGGTGACCGAACTAAAAATCTTATTTAGATTTTTTTTTTATTTTTTCTAAATGCCATCTATAAACGGGTCAGTCCATACTAATATTAGATAAAACACAAATGGTACCATACCTTCGACTAAAATCATATTGAGAGGTTTCCTTTCATATATATTCATTGCTTTTATCTTACTTTGTTTCATTAACCAGTTAGCTGTGAATGACGAGTATACTCGTTACGGAGAAGCGAGACGATTTTGTGTATTGACGAGTATACTCGTCATGCGCATATTATGTTAATGAAATGGGAAGATAAGAGGGAGGTTTGTTTAGTAAGTACTGTACAT